GAAACCCTGCTGCTGCCCAGGCCAAACTGGTGGCCATGGCATTGAGCAGGCAAGCCAAAATTGAAAGGTAGGTTCTTGTTTTGTGGCGTTTAAAGGCTTCTGGGAATCAGTTTAAGAGAAGGGGAGAGCCTCAGGCAGTGCAGGGTTGTACAGACAAGGACTGCCAGGAAAGAAGTGCTTTCCTTGATACCGGAATACACTTGACTGTAAAACATTTGTTTTAAGATATGCACCACATATTATTTAATGATTGGGGAGGTGCGTTTATACCTTTGGTTTCTGGTCTTTGAAGAACTGCATGAAAGCTCTTATGGCTAGTGATTTAATTGCTGCTAAGAGCATAAAGCCACCCATGTTGGAAGTTACCTACCAATGGGCTTATTACATCTTTACAAAAGAGGTGGTTGATGTCTCTTTGTTATGCTTTAGCTGGGGATTTTGACAAGTTGTTGCTTATTGTGGTAGCACTGGAAGGCCCAGCCTGGGCTGAAGAGCTGTTTAAATTGCATCGATACAAAAATATGATTTATATTCTAGAGATTAACCTAACCGAGGTGGGTTTGGGATACTAGAACACATCAGGACCTTTGGCATCAGCGCAGCAAAGCCTTTTCAGAGCTGAGTATCTCCTCCCAAGCGAGCTTTGTTAGTGCTGCAGGTAGGGCTTTGGTTACATGTGAAGTCCCCTCTTGCTGTGGGCTGGTGCTTGCCTGTACCGTGACTCTGTCCACTGAAGACGAATGGGAGGTACCTGCTTTGTGAGTTCTGTCACAAGCACGTTAGTACTTGATCAAGGTGAGACACCTTGCAGTTATAGTCGTTTTCAGTAAAACACATGGCCTGAATGAAAAACATTTTCATGAGCAGGCCTGTTTCATCACTTTGATTTGCTTTGTTGCAGGATGGGCTGGGTCAGTCATGATGTATCTTTCACGCTCTTTGTAGATTGGTTTGGTTTTTAGAAGACCTCTTATATGCTCCTTGTTCTTTCAGCTCCTGTAGGCTTCTAATCCTTGTTTATTACTGTTCGTTCCTCAGGTAGCAATGTAGCTGAAGGATTTAGGCTGGAAGTGTTTTATGTAGGCAGTTCCACCCTCTCATTCCTGAAAAGGTCAAAGAAATCCAGAAAGTCAGTAATATTTGAAAAATCAACCTGCACATACAAAAACAACCGAGACAGAAACTGAAGAGTATTTTAATCTACCTTATAAGCTCAGTTTTTCTGTCATGTAGAAGCAACTCATTATAGCTATCACATTGGTTTTATAAGTTCTTTAACTCATCCTTCACTGGCTCCTTTGCTGTTTTCTCTAGGAGACAAACGTTGCCAGGCTTGCGGAATTGTACCTGGGAGGTTTAATTTTCAAGGTTTGCTCAACTTTTAGGAGAAGACGAAAATTGTCAGAGGCACCCCTACATATAAACTCTCTTAAAGCTGGTTTTTACAGACAGAAGATACTTAAATTACAACAGTAACCCATCACAGCCTCTCTTTTTCTATATAATTTTACTTTTAAATACATGATACCATGTTAAACCTGTTACACAGAGTAGTAAAGATGTAGTATGTAATGTCTGAATTTGAGTTGACAGATGGAAGTGATGGCATAGATGGGAGGAAAAGGTGTTCGTGCTGCACATGGGTATATAACTGCATTTTCAAAGCCTTTCTTAAGCAGATTGGAACTCTGCTGATTCCTGTAGTTTTCATTTGTCAAAAACCTTCTGTTGTCAATCAGACGAGCTGGGGAGATGGATCCCCATGGTGGCGTTTTGCCTCTTGCTTATGCATCGTTAGAGGTCATCAGTAAATGACAGCTGGTATCATCTGGTGCTGGCAGCGCTCCTCTTCCTCCTAATGGGTACACTCCTGTAAGTCTCTGTTTTATCTCTACAGGAGTCTTACTCAGTTGTTAAAGAGTAGATCCTCCTTACACCAAGGAACTTGTGAAAGACATGAGGAGATTTGTGAATGTCTGAGCCACGTGTACCCTGAGGAGCACTGTGTCAGCCACTCTCGCTGGTGTGAAGAGCATTTAAACAGGGTACACAAATTTGAGTTGGATAGAGTCAGGAATTGGCTCTCTAACTACATTTAATTGAGTTTCTAGAAATAGGGAATTGTTTTAGAAACACTGTGTCTGGGCTGGGCTATAGAAAGGTAATTTAAAGATTTAGTTCTCTTCTCTTTGAGACAGATACAAGCAGAAGAAGGAACTGGAGAACAGGTTGGCCTCTATGAGAAATTCTGTGGACAGCGGGCAAGCAGATGAGGAGCAGATACGGAAATTTTATATACTACAAACCCAGAAATGGATCAACACCAGCCTGGAGGAAATTGAAAGTGTTGACCAAGAAATAGTCATATTGAGGAGCAGAGGTACAGTGAAACAGGTATGAGATCTCTCTTGAGCTGCAGGTCAGTCACAGCACAAGCAGATGGGATTTGGTTTAACTCTGAATGGGCAGTGTCTGATTTTTGAATTGGTCACTGTCCACTCCTACCCCATGTTCCAGACAATCATGGTTTGCAGAGTGCTGGAGCACGGAGTATCAGAGCTCAACCAGCCTACGTGCAAAGGCTTTTCTCCCCTTTGCTGGATTCTGCCAGACCCTTAACTCTAAAGAAGTAACTACATTCGTAAATTAGAAGAGATAGATGTGATTTCTTTCAAACCTACACTTCTGGTGTACAAGGTGTTCAGGTGTTACAGAAAGAAATTCCCGTTCTGGATGATGAAAGCTTCTCATATACGTGCAATTCCTTTGTAGAATAGTTGTCCTGGGCTTTGTTACTCACCTAAAACATCTGTCTAGAAATTAAAAATCATAATGTGTTGACATAGGCCATAGCCCAGCTTGGTTGGCACATCTGGTTTGTGCAGTTCATTACTGGTATTGCAGAACTCTGCGCCTCTGTAGTGCCCTGGGTGATGTCACTGGGAATGATGAGCTCTACTTGCTTTAGCGTGTTTGGTCCCTGGGAAGAATAAGCTGTATTTCATGCTTTGATCTGAGCTGGTCTGGTTTAGCTCTGTCAGCTTTCCATTTTGATCAGAGTGGGTGTAACAAAGGCACAATGAGAAGTGATTTGTAGCAGCTCACAGATGGAGCTCAAGATTTAAACTGGATTAAGGCATGATTTGTCCATCTTGGGATGTTACTCTGATAGCAGAGGCGATTCTCTTCTACAAGACCTTTAATAACTTGTTTGGGGTGGGAAGTGGAGAAGGGGATTCTCATCTACATGATTATCTTGTGACTATTGTTTGCATCTTCAGTCTTCAGCACCAACACGCGGTACTTCTCGGCAAGTCAGGCCTCCATTGAAACCTTTCGTTCTCACCCGGGATGCTGTGCAGAATGAGTATGTTGGTTTCTGATTATTTAGAGGCAGTATGAGGCAGTGCTCTGTCCTCATGTCAAGACTCAGATACTCTTTGAAATGCAGAAAACCAGTTGAACTTTCAGGCTTTGCACCTGGGCAGGGGGTGAGGGGAACATCTCATGCATTTCTTGAACTTTTTCTGATTTCTTCTGTTACCAGCATGCTGCAGTGTCTTGGCTAATGCTGTTTCCTCCCGTTGGGATGGCAGAGGAGATCGTATTTAGCAAATATTACTCTTAGTTTGTTGGCCATGTGCTTGCTGGTTGGTAAACTGTGGAGGGGCAATGCTTATCTGCCTGTCTAACCTCTATGGGACAGAAGAGGATTGCTCTTCACTCTTAAAATGAAGAGCCCAGTAGCAAAAAGCACATGTAATCTCTTAATCTAGTGTAAACTCTGGAATAGTTCAGTGAAGTCAAATAAGTGATCTGAGGGGCTGGGAAGATGTGATGCCTACCGGAGAATCATCAGTCACGGTAATACGGTTTTCAACTGTGAGGCTTTCCCTAGCCTTACAGGTTATCCAGATCTTAACATTTTGTGGTACCATGAGATTCTTGTGAGGAATATGGCAGCTAAAGCACAAATTGGGATAGAAACCAGATTTCTTGTCATGCTTTTGACATTATTTGTCCTGAGCCTTCCATGTATCTGTTTAGCCAAGCTGGGCCTAACTCAGTTCTTGGGGCCTCCTTGGCAAGCTGTATTGACTCCTTTGGGCCAGAGAAGTGATTTGTGCATAGAGCAATCCTTGCATCTCTAAACTAGCAGGGTGAAACCCCTAAATGCTGTTATGGCTGGGTCACTGGCAAGCATTGCTGAAAGGCCAGGCTGTAGAAAAATGTCCTCAAGCCCTCCTTGATAACATGCCTGGTATCGTTAGTACAGATGGGATTAGAGAGTAGTTCTCTGCAGGGTTGTCTATGTTTCTGCTCATTCGTAGCAATGTAAAGTGCCGCCTTTGACTGTCCATCTCTTCCTGTAGAGTGTTTGGTGCTGGTTATCCCAGCCTGCCTGTGATGACTGTGGATGACTGGTACGACCAGCGCAGAAAGCAAGGAGTGGTGTCTGGTCAGAGCATGCCTCAGAGAACACCAGGTACGGAGTGGCAAGGCAAAGACTGGAATGGAGAATTTGGGAAGTCTCTGAGGAGGGAGGGGGAATGGGGATGTGTTCAGGGTGTAAAGCACCCACTGACTAAGGAGGAGTAAGAGCTGACTTCATAAGGCTGTGAGAATAACTGGATTGCTAGACTGCTCTTTCGGCAATTCCTGCTTTTTGCCCCGACCGTCTTTTGAGAGCTTGACTATGGATCTTCCACTGTCCTAGTGCCCCTCACTCCTGTTCTTGACTTCAGCAGGTCTAACTGATGAAGAGTTACAGAAGCAGGAGAAAAAAGAGGAGGAGGATGACGAGGAAGCTCTTCAAAAAGCTCGGAACTGGGATGACTGGAAAGACACACACCCAAGAGGCTATGGCAACCGGCATAACATGGGCTGATGCTCTTGCTGCAGAGGGAGCAGGGCCTGGAAATCTGTAAGAACAGCCAGTGTCTTGGCGATACAGGAGTAAAGACACTGTACATATGTAGAGGTATCTGTGGCTTCTCTGGGAGGCAGGGAATTAGATGACTGAACATGACAGCTTGTTTTGGTTTACCTTAAATGTCAGGCAGAGTGCACTGGTCATGTACAGTGACACCACAGAGCTCCTGTCAGGTGGAGCTCTTCCCAAAGGGTCAGACTGCTTCTGTTCTCCGAGTCAGAGGAAGTCCTTGAAAGAAAAGTACATGAATTTGGAAACTGCTCTTTGTATTGTGGGTGGATGTATTTATTTTCTTTTTCCTCTATATCATAGATTCATAGAACAGTTAGGGTTGGAAAGGACCTTAAGATCATCTGGTTCCAACCCCCCTGCCATGGGCAGGGATGCCACACACTAAACCATGTCACATTAAACCAAGACTTTGCCAGGCACTGAGGTGAGACTGACTGGTCTGTAGTTCCCTGGGTCTTCCATTTTGCCCTTCTTGAAAACGGGACTTGTATTTCCCTTTTTCCAGTTGTCAGGAACTTCACCTGACTGCCATGAGTTTTCAAATACAACAGACAGTGGCTTAGCAACTTCATTCGCCAGCTCCTTCAGGACCCACCGATGGATTTCAACGGGTCCCATGGACTTGTGCACATTCAGGTTCTTAAGATGATCTCAAACCTGATCCTCTCCTACAGCGGGCCTAAGGTCTTCATTCTCACAGTCCCTGCATTTGCCTTCCAAGACTTGGGCAGTGTGGTCAGAGCATTTGACAGTGGAGACCGAGGCAAAGAAGTCACTGAACCTCAGCCTTCTCCAAATGCAGGGTAGCCAGTTCTCCCAATAGCTTCTGGAGAGGGCCCACGTTGTCCCTAGTCTGTCTTTTGTTTGCTACATACCTATAGAAGCTCTTCCTGTTATCTTTCACATCCCTTGCCAGATTTAATTCTAACCAGGCCTTAGCTTCCTGACCTGGACAACGTCCCCATATTCTTCCCAGGCTGCCTGTCCTCGCTTCCACCCTTTAAAAGCTTCTTTTTTCCCCTCTGAGTTTCCTCAGCAGCTCCTCATCCATCCATGGAGGTCTCCTGGCCCTCCTGCTCTATTTCCTTCTAGTCAGGACACAACACTCCTGAGCTTGGAGCAGGTGATCCTTGAACCAGCAATCTTGGCCCCAAGTCTAGGGCTTTTTCTCATGGAACCCTACTAAGCAGGTTCCTGAAGAGGCCAAATTCTGCTCTCTTGAAGTCCAGGGCAGTGAGCTTGATGCGTGCCCTTCTCGCTGTCCTCAGGATCTCGAACTCGACCATCTCATGATCACTACAGCCAAGGCTGCCCTGAAGCATCACACTCCCAACCAGCCCCTCCCTGTTGGTGAGCGCAAGGTCAACCATGGCACCTCTCCTTGTCAGCTCCTCTTACTTGCAAGAAGAAGTTGTCTTCAACACAATCGAGGAACCTCCTGGATTGCTTGTGCGGGGCTGTCCCATCCCTCCAACAGGTATCAGAATAGTCAAAGTTCCCCACAAGGACAAGGGCCTGTGAGCGTGAGGCTGCTCCTATCTGTCTGTAGAGCGCTTCATCCACCGAGTCCTCCTCATGGGGTGGTCTGTAACAGATCCCAACAGTAATATCCCCCATCGCTGTTCTCCCTCTGATCATGACCCACAAGCTCTCTGTTGACTAATCACCTATCCCCAGACAGAGGGCCATATTCTCCAGCCTATCACTGTCATAAATATGTACTCCCCCTCCCTGTCTGCCTGGCATGTCTTTTCTAAAGAGCCTGTAACCTTCCATTCCAACACTTCAGTCGTGGGAGCCATCCCACCATGTTTCTGTGATGCCAATGATACCATATCCCTGTAGCCATGTACACATCTTTTAATTCCTGTTGTTTATTCCCCGTACTACAGGCGTTTGTATGGAGGTGTCTGAGCTGAGCCCCAGATGAAGCCGACTCATTGGCAGGAGCAGCTGAAATAGCTCTGCGCCACTCCAAGCATTTATTACAGGTGCTGACAACTGACTGGGAGTGTTGGGATGGATCGATTTTTCTGCTCCCCCACTCCCAACACATCTAGTTTAAAGCTGCCTTGACCAGCCTGGCAAGTGTCCTACCAAACAAGCTCTTCCCCTTCCATCAGACCAGATAC